TGGCAGGTTCGAACCCAGCCCCAGCCAAACTGCAACAGCAACAACAAAAATAAATAATAAAAAAAGAATTAAAAAAAAAAAAAAAAGAAAGGGGTAAGGTTATATCTGAATCCCTATTCTTTCCTCAATAAGTGTGATGTTTGAGCCAATTTCATAAAGCTTTTGAAACTCAGTTTTCTTATCTTATAAAATGGGGGTAATAACAGGGCTTACCCACAAACAACACTAACACAAACACCATGTGGACAGTCTCCACCCTGGTTCTGGTTCTGCCCATGTGGCTACCTTCTCTATTAGCTTCATCTTCGCTCAGAGGTAGCTTCTCAGTCAACCAGCACATCATTAGTGAGGGCTGAGCTGCATGTCTTCTATTTGCCCTTCCAGATTCAATCTGCCTCTCCAGCACCTGCTTCTGTGACCTAGGGGGCTGGCCTTCATGGACTGCATCCTTGGGCTCCTCTCCTTCTGGCTTCTGGTTGCACCAGCAGGAGCCTAGAAGGAGGTAGAGCTCCCTCTCTCCTGGGTTGGGCAACCACTCCCTCTTCTTGCCCCTTTAGGCCTAGGAATAGAGGTTCCCCCACTATTGCTCACCCTGGCACACTGTGCTACCTGGTTGCTCTCCTTATATCTTGTAAATAGAACCCTTATTAAACTACTTAGAGATGCCTACCAGCACTCTGGCTGATACAGGTCTACTGTGTGCCAACTGTCTTGCCAAGCCCTGAGAGAGATCTTAATTAGTAAAATAGACATAGTTCTGTCTGAGGAGTGTAGAGTTTTCACCCTAGACCTGAGGGGTTCTGAGCTGATACCAAGTTCGTTATTCCAGTGGACTGGTATACACAAAAGGGCAAGCCAGCAACTACCCTGTTTCTCCCCTCCACACACACACGGGGAAATCTGACGTGGATTCTGGAATATGCGGGCCTATCCCAAATCTTCAGATCTGAACAGAAATGTTGGCTGTGTCCTCAATCTCTTTACTCTGTGTTTGGGACTTAAGAGCTCAATGGAACCTCCCTGAATGTCTGAGGCACATTGACAATAGGCAAACAAATATGGTAACACTTAGCAGGATGCCATGTGCAGCATGAGGCTTCATTAAGTCAAGTTCATAGTGAGACGAACTCAGAAGATACATTTTTCTAAGACAATAGGATTAGATCATATTCTCCTCAGATATTTCTTTGAGTCTTTCAATATCTGTACAAATGGCCTCCAAATAAGACATGGAGTTAACATCTTTGTGGAAGTTGGGGTTCATAAACTCAGGGTTTTATTTTATACTCCAAGAATGGTTTTCTTCTACTACAAATGTGAAGAGTTGGCATAGTTTGTGGGCAGAATTTATTTGCAACAGTGGTGGACAGTCTCCACCCTGGTTCTGCTTCTGCCCATACTTTGTATAGTGAATGATTTCAAACATGGTCCCCTGTTGGGAAGGTATCTGTGTTTTTGTCCCAAAATCAGTGAAACAAGTGATGAGACTTGAGTCATCTTCTGGTTTGGTGGCTCAGGAAGGATCCTCTCAGACGGCATTGCTTTCTCTTAAATAGCTTAATGCTATAATTAAAAACTTTTCTGGGTTGTCCTATTCAGGGACCACAGAAGTCTGAACCATATGAAGAGTATGTTTGCACTTGAGTCCCATCCTCTGGCTCCATGCATTGGAGTCATCCAGAGACTTTTCCACATTTGAGGTGAGCATATGGCCAAATGGAAAATAAACAGCTCAAGGAATTCCTGGCTTAGGAACTGGCTCACAGTAAGATGTTGCAGGAAAGGGAATAGTCAGGGAAGGTGGACCTTTTGCAAGTTCGTGGTAAACCAGAGCAAAGAAATCTTTCTTGTAGACAGCTCCCCCTGGGGAATGATCCTGTGGTGATACTGAATGTTTATGGAACACTCAAGATGCCCTTGATGTGTATCTTTTCACTGGACTCGTGTAATAACTCCTGTCATAATTAACTGCTATTACCCTTAAAAATAAGGTTTATTTCATTAATAAACCTCACTTCACAAATGAGGAAACTGAGACTTAGAAGGCAAAAAAAAAGTCTCCTGAGGTTATACCATTTGAACCCAGGTCTGATTTGCCAAAAATGTTACTTCTGCACAACTCTGACCATATAGCCAGGGAGGCATTTTATCACCACATACACCAGGTACGCTGGCAAGAACAGAGGAACAAGGAAAGATCTGCTTGCTAGGACATGAACTTCATAAAGACAGAAATCTGTATTTAGTTCGATGCTCTATCCCCCACCCCTAGAACAGTGCCTGGGACATATTTGTTAAATGCGATGAAAAAAAAACCAAATTATTACTGGTTGTTTGTCTCCTAACCTCATGCTCCCAGCCTGTGACTTTGTGTGGGTGATAGCCATAATGGGAAAAGTTGAGTTTGATCAGCAAACTCTACCCTGTAACTGCAGCCCTGGGAACTGTCGTGTTGGGTCTCCACCATCAGGGATGTGTTTGGATGTTAACTTGAAGGTAGATCATGGCAACAGATTTTTTTTTTTTTTTTTTGAGACAGGGTATCACCATATCAGTGTCACAGCTCACAGCAACCTCAAACTCTTGGGCTTAAGCGATTCTCT